AAATTCTAAAAAAAAAAAAAAAAAAAAATTCTGTGTTCCACATCTGTCATCCAAGATGCTTGTTGTTAACTGCATTTGTCAACCATGTTATCCAATATTTTAAGAATTTTTTACGAAAAATAAGACAAATAAAACATAATAAATAGAATTTTTAAAAACAAACGTATTATATGTATTTATATTGAATTATTTTCTTTGCACTCAAATGCTAGTTCCTACCACATAATAGTATATTTTAAGATACATTTACAACCCTGTTATATTGCATATATTTTTAGCTGGCAAATGTTGTGTAATTATGATGATTATTACATTTTTATTGCAAGAAATAACAAAATCACAATTTTAAACTGTATTTAGATCAAAATGGCCAAAACAGCAAAAACATACTATTTTTAACCATTTCGATCATATTTTTTTTTACCCTTTTTGTGGTAAGTTCCAACTGAATCACTCCCTTCCACCTTTAAAAACCAAGATGTGAAAATAACCCAGTGTACACAAGCAGCTGCAAATTGCATGTTGCATTGTGTGTGTGTGTGTGTGTGTGTGTGTGTGTGTGTGTGTTAGTGTGTGTCCCTTCTTTTACTTCCAGATGTTGTTCTCTCTTCTGTAGTTACCGATCCCCAGCTCTCCAGCATTTTTGCCCATGACCTTCTGGGTAATTGAGCAGAAGTATTGATGTAACAGCAGGGTCTGATTGTGATTTATTAAACACACTCTGAGACTGTGCCAGCGTCACCACGCGCCCATCGCATGCTATTACAAAAGTCATCAATAGCTCTGCTACATAAAGGCCAGTAATGGGGAGAGAGCCAAAAGAGAGAGAACAGAGCGCTCTGCCATTATATGACTGCAGAATACTGAGAGGAAAGAACAGAGAGAGAGCATGAAATCTTGATACAACAAACTGCAGACAGGTCTCCAAATCTCCAGAGAACACATTTTGTTAGGACAAAAAACTGAACTACAGAGACAAAGAGCGTCTTTGGCATAAAACTAGATTGGAGAAAACCAGTGCATGACTGCATCATTAAGGGATATTTCTATGTGTTTACAGAAATAAATACAGCTCCTCAAGTTTCCTTCAGTAATGGCCAGGTAGCAATCACTGGCTTTCATCCCATTCCAACAGCAATGCATCATACACAGGAACTGAAGCAATAAGACATAACCCAGGCTCAGAGGCATGACTGTAAGACTCCATTAGAGCCCATAATGGGCAGAAACGTAGGTTTAACTTATTATGAGAGAGGTAAATAATACAAGGTCTAATGATTACGGATGATTTGATATGGGGTGCAGTAGGATGCAGGTGTACTATAAAACACTGCGAGAGGCGAGCTGAACTGTGCTTGGAAAAGATGACACAAATATCACTATAGACCAATAAAAAAATGGTATTGACAAATACCATGATATTTAAAAAAATAAATAAATAAAAAAATAAATCAAATACAGATTGCATGTTAATGGTAGACAAAACTATTTCACAATTCAGTGCCACCAACTGGCTGATTCTCCAAGTAGTTGGCAGGTATTGCATCTTTACGCTGGCTGCTTCCCAACATAAAATGGAAAAAGACGACGACGAAGAAAAAAAAGACAGTGTGTGGCTACCACTGCCACACAAATCGGAAGAAGATGACAGGCGAAAGCTTTTAAGGAAAACCTAATCACTGGGTCATTAGTGGTAGGGCTGGGTAAAAAATTTTGATATCTCAATATTAATCGATTCTTGTTTTTATGGAACGATATCAATTATTAAATCCCAAGAATCGATTATTCAAGCCTGTTTTCAGTTAATGGATGGAACATTGAAGCGCACCTCCCATCCAATATATCGCAATAAGCATTGTGCTTTGGTACTTAACCGAAGTTAAGTTAAAAGAAAGAGTACAACTTTACAATCTGTATTCTGTCTCATGTAATCGCTCAATCTGTGTTTCAGCCGCGCAATGACGTCAATATAATGGCTTGTAAACAATGTCCCGTAACGTCACATTTACCTCAGAAAAACATATTCGGTGACCATAAACTCATTAGTCAGATAGAAAAATAAACTGTAGAGAGGGGCATTTTGCTAAATATATGCACCATATAACATATTCATTATAAATTGTACTGTTCTTCAATGTTTAATTTATGTATATTCATTATAAATTTTCCTGTTCTTCAAAGTTTAATTTATTTTTGAATAAATCCATCAAGTTTTTATGACAGCCACCATTATGTTTATATTTAAAAAAAAAAAAAAAAAAAATTTGAAGTAGAAATATTATTATGTAATTCTAACTTTATTATTTAAATTAGTCAGATAGAAAAATAAACTGTAGAGAGGGGCATTTTGCTAAATATATGCACCATATAACATATTCATTATAAATTGTACTGTTCTTCAATGTTTAATTTATGTTTGAATAAATCCATCAAGTTTTTATGACAGCCACCATTATGTTTATATTTAAAAAAAAAAATAAAAATAAAATTTGAAGTAGAAATATTATTATGTAATTCTAACTTTATTATTTAAAAAAAAACTTAATTAAGTGTAATTTTAACAAATCAGTAAATTTTAACCTTCAATGTTATAGTAATGTAGTACCAACTGACTCTCATGTATATTTTACAGCATTCATTTTTTTTTATAATATTTTTTTTTCCTTGAGAAAATTTGGCATGTACTGTACCTGATATATATCCAAAATAATCGATATTGAATCGAATCAAACCGAATTGGTAATCGAATCGAATCGCAAGCTTGTGAATGAGAATCTAATCGAATCATGAAATTTGTGTCAAAACCCAGCCCTAATTAGTGGTAATCAATTTCAGATAATTTTGTCCTGAAACAGCAGGTACAAACTGTGTTGGTCGCTTTACTTGTCAGTCAGGCTGTGAACAGTGTGCTTGGCCAGAATAAGCTGCAATGAAGGCCAAACTTTTGTCGGCAAGCCAAAAGTCAGGCTAGACAAGCCAAGTTTTGTATACTTCTATAGCATTGCAAGAGTTCAGTTAATTTTTGAGATAAGGAAAAGTACGTTTGTGAAAATATATAATAATACAGTGTCAGCAAAGCTGATAATAGAACATTTCATACATGAAAATTATATGACTGCGGTTGTACCTGAACGCAGAGCAGCCCCAGGCACCGTGCTTATCTGTGAGGATGTTTACAATCTTCTGGATGAGCTGGGTGGATGTGACGTGATCCCGGTACTTGGCGGCCCTGATCAGGTGATCGCACATCTTCTCCTCATCGCGTTTCTCAGCGGCATACTGAGCACACTGAGACTGCAGACAAAATAAAACAAGTCTTGTTAGTAATTTTGCTCTTATATGCTTTCATTCCTATTATATCAATTAACAAATTAAACCCTTTATTCAAATGACCTATCTCTATTTAAAAACTACAATACAAAACATGTGCAGTATGATACCTGGCACATATAAACAAGTTACTTGAAGGCACAAGCATGTTCCTGTGCTACTTTTACCTCAGAAGAATGCTGTCCATCAGACTGAGTGTAGAAAACAAAGCACACTACATCATTAGAGTGTGTGTTGACGCCTGAGCGTGTGAGCGTGTGTGTGTGTGCGGTAACTCCATACACATGGGAAACAAATGGAACTCTGGGTCATTTCCAGCCTGTTGTCACAGTGATTAATAACACTGGACATGTATTTGCTAATGCCTTTGGGCTACGCTAAAAAATGTAGAAACTACCCATAATGCACAAGGAGACATTTTTCTTTGTCAGAATTTGTTATCAGAAAAGCCTTTGAACTCAAATGTGATCCTTTAACAAAGCACCTCACACTGCAAATATCCCTTTGATAAAACTTAAATTCTGTTTTATCTGTTCATCCCATTGTAGTAGAAGTGCAAATGAAAAAGCCACCCTTGGTAAAAACCAATGTCCCAATCAGAATCAATAAATCAAGAGATGAGTAACAAAGCTGGTGAGATGCTGGTACGAAATCAACCCAGAATAGGCAAAAACAGCCCACCAAGCACAACACAGCTTAATCCCCCCCCCCGTGCCTCTTATCTGATTCTTCTGATGCAACGTCTAGCAAACAGCAATCAAGTGGAAAGGTTACAGCAACCACTGGAGCTTGTTTTAATGTAATTCCCTCAGCTTCATCCATTGCGTGTTATGGGCCTAAATTAAATTAGCCTAGGACAGCACACGCTTCAGACAACAAATACAGTAAAGGCAGTGGTCTGGTGCGGTAGCGGCAGACACTGAAGTCTGCCTCGGCAAAGTTAGCGGTAAACGCTCCAAAGTGCCTTCTAATAGGCCCTCCTCTCCAATTTGAGGATCGACTCTTCATGCATGACAGAAAATCCATAGAGATAAATCACATTAGGGGGGCTTCCCTCTCCTAATTATCAATCTGTGTCTCATTTCGCTGTTCTTAACTCTGCAGTGACCTTAAAGCCATGAGAAGAGGACGGCGGAACAAAAGAGATAAAAGGTAAAGGGTGAATGTTTAAATGTGAACCGATTTCGATGTCTGGCTTAACAAAAGAGCGTGAATAAAGGAATGGAAAGAAAGACAGCGATTTGTCTCTGTTCAGCACAGAAGGTCACGACTAGGTAAGAAATGGAAAAGTCTACACTCTTAAAAATAAAGGTGCTTCACGATGCCATAGAAGAACCTTTTTGTCTAAATGGTTCCGTAAAGAACCTTTAACATCTGAAGAACCTTTCTGTTTCACAAAAGGTTCATTGTGGTGAAAGAAGGTTCTTCAGATTTCAAAAAGGTAAGAAAGAGATGGTTCTTTAAAGAACCTTTGACTGAATGGTTCTTTGTGGAACCAAAAATGGTTCTTCTATGGCATCGCTTGAAGAACCTTTTGAAGCACCTTTATTTTTAAGAGTGTAGATGGGTAACATTTGCTTTGATGAAAGAATGGAGGAAAAAAACAAGCAAAAAAGGTTTTGACACATTAATATTAGGGACTATTATGAAATAATTTTTTTAATATTGTAATATTATTAGAACTTTTAAGTTAAATAAAATGCAGAATTTGTAATACTAACTGAAATAAACTGTTTTGAAGTTTGTACTACAGGTGCTTTCTGAATCGGAATAGCTTCAAAAACAAAAAGAGCAATCATCCATATTTTTTCATTGTTCCCTTCAACGACTGATTAACACATTATTAATTAGCTGTCATGAGTTCAAACACTTTGGCATAAACAGGCACTTTATCAACTAGTGTCAACGGCACCAAATCCCTGAGCTCCATAATGGGCTTCGTAATTTTCATGAACTTCCTGACAAATGGCTTCCTTGCAGCTGAACATACAGGCTGAATTATAGGAAACATACAGGTGAAATACATAGCAGTGACATTATCATCACGTTTGGGGCTGTAATTCTGAAGTGACGTCGTAAGACTTTTGGAAACCCAACGAGGTGGACTTAATTCCAAGGGTCTTGCACATGTTTGGCAGTGCTCTGAAGGGAGAACCACAATCTCCAGTAACAGTGCAGCTGAAGCTGAAGCCATAGAGGGAGAAACAAAACCATGAAAGCAATGTGTTTATGACTTCAGACAGAGTAATCATCCACATCTCCAAATGTTCTGTGTTCTGGGGAACTGAATCAGACAGGGTCAGCACTCATTTCCTTCAGTGAACTACACCCATGACAAACCATTAGAGCCACATTATTGTAAAAAATTCTGTATCCTCGACAGTAGTCTAAAACTATTTATTCTGCATTTCAATAAAGATCCACATAAAAAGCATCCATTCATATTTTTGAGTGTAACAAAAGTAAGATTAATTATTTTTGAATTACTGTAAGCTGACATTGAATTAAAATATAAAATAATTCAAATTAATTTATTTAAAATGTAAAACCAAAAACAAATTGGAGCTGGTAAACGTAACGTGTTTAAATATGTTTAACACATTTTTTTTATCAGTATCCATTTACTAGTAAATTGTTGAGAAAGACTCTTCACGGGTAATTCATTTCTAATTAATTTATCAATCCTGGTCAGGACATTTACCAAAAGCAGTCATTCACATTTTTTTTTTTTTTTAGTAAATCATGGTGAAGCTCAGCTTCTTAAAAAATATAAATATGCATCATCCAAACCAATTGCAGAGCGTACTAATTATACATTTGAAGTATTATTTTGTTTAATAGACATATTTGCTGCACGTTTCTACTTGTAGATGTAAATAAATGAACAATACCTTTTACAAGTAAGGCATTGCCTTTTATGTGTTTCTAGAAACAAATTGCATTGGTTTTTAAAATCTTCTAAATGTATGTGTTGCTACATCCACGGCAATATGTGTCGGTATAAAATGCAGGGTTATTGTTGCAAAGGCCATAAAAACAAAAATTACTTATACAAGTTCTGCAAATTCAGAATTTATAGCTAAGCAAAGCACAATAACATACCGATGAATACTATTTACTAGGGACGCTGTGATCAGGATTTTTGCAGCCGATACTGAGTACCGATTTCTTGTCATGGTGATCGGCCGATACCGGTTCTGAAGCTTCAAGCTTTATATAGACAGTTTCAATGGGCACACGCGCCTGGCCCGAAGTTAACTTCCAGTTTGTGTTTGTTTATCAGTCTGGCTATGGCACCGGCTACAAATGCAGTTAAAGTTAAGGTGATGAGTAGACTGAAGTTGGGCTCAGGTGGTTGTGCTGTGGGATGTTTCCCATACATTTATTTATTTGTGGCACTCAGCACAAGATCAAAATTGACTTTTTTTTTTTTTTAGTAAATCATGGTGAAGCTCAGCTTCTTAAAAAATATAAATATGCATCATCCAAACCAATTGCAGAGCGTACTAATTATACATTTGAAGTATTATTTTGTTTAATAAACATATTTGCTGCACGTTTCTACTTGTAGATGTAAATAAATGAACAATACCTTTTACAAGTAAGGCATTGCCTTTTATGTGTTTCTAGAAACAAATTGCATTGGTTTCTAAAATCTTCTAAATGTATGTGTTGCTACATCCACGGCAATATGTGTCGGTATAAAATGCAGGGTTATTGTTGCAAAGGCCATAAAAACAAAAATTACTTATACAAGTTCTGCAAATTCAGAATTTATAGCTAAGCAAAGCACAATAACATACCGATGAATACTATTTACTAGGGACGCTGTGATCAGGATTTTTGCAGCCGATACTGAGTACCGATTTCTTGTCATGGTGATCGGCCGATACCGGTTCTGAAGCTTCAAGCTTTATATAGACAGTTTCAATGGGCACACGCGCCTGGCCCGAAGTTAACTTCCAGTTTGTGTTTGTTTATCAGTCTGGCTATGGCACCGGCTACAAATGCAGTTAAAGTTAAGGTGATGAGTAGACTGAAGTTGGGCTCAGGTGGTTGTGCTGTGGGATGTTTCCCATACATTTATTTATTTGTGGCACTCAGCACAAGATCAAAATTGACGGATTTTCCAAAAGGCTTGGTTGAATAAACATGAGCGCGTAGTGCACGTTTAAAAATCAAAACGAGGTGCGGGTGTATTTATATCACTGTATTTCTGAAGGAAGAATCTTTAGAAAATGTTCGATGTCATTTTCATTTAATCTTGCATGTTATATGTCTGATAAAGCAGCGTTTGTGAGCTCAGCGCTGCTTTGTGTACAGCTGTTGCTGGGGAAACCTCTGTTTCTGTTCCGTCCTCCACGCTGTGACACCTCACAAAAGACTATTTGTAACCAAGCAGCGTGGAGAGCCGCTTCAGAAACGTGCTGCGGCTGGCTGATAAACACAAGCACTGACTAGAGCGGC